TTGGCGACCGCGCGCCAAACCCGTCGATCGCTAATCCATGTTTCCGCGCCCCCGACTTCCGCCGCCCGCATACGCCCTCTTCTCCAACCTCGTGGACGTGCACGGCGGAACGGCGCCCCGATCGCGCCGTTGCGCGGAGGACAGGCCGCGGCCTCTTGTCCTGGAGTGCCCGGGCACGGTTGTGCTTTGGTGCTCTCTTCACCGAACTGGACGACGTGCTCGAGGGTCCTTCTCTTGCAAGTGTCGCGACGGACGTCGCTCGGGGGGGCCCCTTCTTCCCCCTCCTGCCCTCGACTCCGCACTCCTCCTAATCTCATCATCATCTCCTCCTCCTCCTCTTCCTCCTCCTCCCCCTCCTCCTCCTCCTCTCCTCCCTCCCTCCTCCTCCCCCTCCAGCCCCTCCTCCTCCTCCTCCTCCCCCTGCTCCTCCTCCCTCCTCCTCCCCCTCCTCCTCCTCCTCCTCCTCCTCCTCCTCCTCCCCCTTCTCCTCCTCCTCCTCCTCCTCCTCGGGTCGCCTACGGCCCCAGGGGCAACCGTGCAGGTGAATGCCTCGACGGAGGCTGCCTGCACGCCCTTACCCCCTCCCACGTCTCCCTCGTCCTCCTGCTTCCCTGCACCTCCGCCCGTCCATGATCTGGCCTCTGCAGGACTCTCGTGCCCGCGAGATCTGATGACATTCGACAGCACAGCGGGCCTCCGTGCCGCCTAATTCCGTACGAGTATACAGGCCCCCGTTCGGGTGATCAGGCGTTTTGTCGCGTGTGTGTGTGTGTTGTGTGTGCGTGTATGTGTGTGTGTGTGTGTGTGTGTGTGTGTGTGTGTGTGTGCGTGTGTGTGTCTGTGTGTCTGTGTGCGCGCGTGTGTGTGTGCGTGCGGGGGGGAGGCTCTGACATCTTCTTTCGCGAGCAATGGACGTACGCTTCACTTCGAGAACGGACACACATCGGAGCATCTAATTTGTTGCGTACATGCCGACTTGTGCGTCTGCACATTCATACATCAATATGGTTGTCCATATGCGTATACACATACATGTATATATGTATGTCCACGAACACAGGTCCGAGCACACATCCCTGCAAACGTCGATACCCTCATATCCGGATTTGTATATCATTTGCATATGTATGTATGTATGTATGTATGTATGTATGTACGTAAGTAAGTATGTATGCATGCATGCATGCATGCATGCATGCATGTATGTGTGTATGTATGTATGTATGTATGTATGTATGTATGTATGTATGTATGTATGTATGTGTGTGTGTGTATGTTTGTATGCACGTATTCACGTATGTGTGTATGCATGTAAGTATCTACGTATGTATGGCTGTCTGTATGTCTGTATGTATGTAGGTATGCCTGTACGTATGTATGTATGTCTGTATGTATGCATGTATGCATGCATGCATGTATGAATGTATGTATGTATGTGTGAATGTGTGTATGTGTGGTTGTGTCTTGGTTTGTATTATGTGTATAGGTTTGAGTGAGTATTTGTGTGTGTGCGGATATTTGTTTGTATGTTTCGGCCCGCAGGACGCAGGCTCGTTACATGACACCGTCTAGCGCATTTGTCGTTTTCATCGGCCCGCAAGGCACATGTTTTACCACCTTTGCCTGGCCGCGCGTTTTTTTGTTCTGAGTGGCATGGTCTGCACGGGCACATTTGTTGCTTTTATGGCCTGGCAGACTCATCGGCACAACCATCGGGACAACCTCCCAGACATCCATCTGGGCAGTAGGCGGGACTTCCATGAGGACAGCATTAGGGCAACCCTCTGAACAACAGTCGGCACAACCATCGAGGCAAACCATCGAGGCAAACATCGAATCGAGACAACCATCGGGTCAACCATCGGGACAACCATCGGGACATCCAGAGGAACAGCAGTCGGGACAACCATGGGGGCAACCGTTGGGACAACCACACGCGCAACCATCATAACATGGCCACCTGTGCAGTTTTCAAGCTCTACGGCCTCCGCGTGGGGCGATCCATGTTTGTCTGGCGTGGCCTTCGCCAGTGGACGAGCTCGCGCAGCTTCACCTGGTCTCGCCCGCGCGCACGTCACGCGCGAAACGAAACGAACTCCGGTTCGGGCAACTCGCGGCCCACCTCGGCCTCACCCCCCCACGTCCGACGATCCCCCTATCGATCCCGCCCGCCCAGTGAGCGAGTTGCGGCTTTCACGGGGCGAAGCGTCGTCGATCGATGGGAACTGTTGTGATCAATGCGTAGCTGGAGGAGCGCCTTGGTAGGAACTGATGTCTGGAGCCCAGAGCTTCCTACGAATCTGATCGGCCTGGAGCCCCTGCCCACTGAGATCCAGAGAACTCGTCGCGCGCGCTCCCCCCTCCCGTGCCTCATCGGCCCTGCCAGCCTCCCTCCTTCACCCCTCCTCCCTTTAGGTTTAAGTCGGGCGTGTCCCTCTACAGGAGGAGTATTCAAAAATAGTGGAAACATAGTCCGGGGATGCGTTTTCCAATATGTACTTCGGACAAGTATTGAGTGTTGTTTGAGAATTCTGATTGTGTCGTCCAAAATCCGCCTGTAGGGGGACATGCCCGACCTAACTTTAGGTCAGGTTGCACTCTTTGAGATGATAGAAGTCCAGCGTCGGCTCTGACATATCCGTGGTCGACACCAAGCCTCGTCTGGCATAATCGGCTTCAGTTCAGCTCGAGGTCGGTTTCATTTTGGGTCCCATCCGGGTTTATTTGGCTATGCAGTGGTCCCTAGTAAAACCCTCAGCCGTTCTTGCGAAGACATCCTAGGAGTGCCCCCCAACCCCTTTATCCCCGAGGATTGCACCTGGTTTAGCTTTACCTACGGCGTGGACCTGATGCTGCGCTGGACGTGAGGGCGCCAGCACGGCCGGCGACCCAGCTGGCCAGCGCCGTGCGGCCGCCGCCCCAGGGGGCGGATTGGATGGGACGGATGAGGGAGGATGAGGAGGATGAGGAGGAGGAGGAGGAGGAGGAGAGGAAGGTCGAGGGGAGGGGAAGGGGGGGGAGGAGGAGGAGGAGGAGGAGGAGGAGGAGGAGGAGGAGGAGGAGGAGGAGGAGGAGGAGGAGGAGGGGGAGGAGGAGGGGAGGAGAAGAGGGATGGGAAGGATGAGGAGGTGGAGGGCTAGAGCATGTTTCGGGCATCGAGAGAGCGCCCACCCAGGCAAGTCGATGAAATCCTCTGCACCGGATTACTCAACATAGGCATTCGATTGTGTGTGAGTGCAGTCCCGAGTCGGTTTGGCGAATCGACATGCGTCTCGTCACGTAGCTGAGGTTGATTGTAGTTGTAGACGTTGATTCGCGAATTACTCCGCGGGGGTCCACTCCGAAGGCGGTACCGTGCGCCAGTAGAGTGTACCCGGCAGCAATCACCAAATGGCGTGTTGCTAGATGTTATTGTTTGAACCTTCCTTCGCATTTTCATTTGTGGATCCTATAGAATGTCTATGGTCGGGTGTGCGGTCCTCACGCCCTGAGAGTCCACTGTTCCGCTACCGATGGCCCAGAAGGTGCGCGAGAGGTGTGCGTTTCTCACTCCCGTGCACGTCCCCCCGTTAGCGAGAACCCGATTGGCATGGGTGGAGCACCCTTGCTTCGAGGCATCTGGAGGTGCCAGAGATCCCGAGCCCGTCGTTCGCATTGCTCTTTTTGTGCCGCACGGGTATGATATTATATGGGCTCCGTGGCGCGGAGAGCGCCTCCAGAGGCCCAAACCAAACCCAGAGGAGCATTCGCCGCCACGATTTGTTCTAGGACGCTGGATGTGCGCCCGTCGGCCTTGCAGATCCACCATGAAGGGGGGAAGCGGTGACAGGAGGAGGAGGGGGGGGGAGAGGCAGGAGTCAAGTCGGGCATGTCCCTCTCTAGAGGGGTGATCTTCAGCCCAGACATAATCTCGGGACGACTTTTCGATTCTCATATCTATGTGTGTATAAATATACACTATATATGTGTATGTATGTTTCATGTTTGGACTATTTCTCATCTTCCTCCCATAATCCGCCTGTAGGAGGACCTGCCCAACCTGAGGCAGGAGGGAGGCATCGTGCAAAGGGCCTGCTGCCCGTGTGGAGCGACCGCGGGGCACACCTCCCGAGCCTGCTCTCCGCGCTGGGCACGCCAACGGGTGGGCCGTTGGCCGACCGGCCGCGCTCCCCGAGGAGGGCGAGGCGCCGACGAGGAGGAGGGGGAGGAGGAGGAGGGGGAGGAGGAGGAGGAGGAGGAGGAGGAGAAGGAGGAGGAGAAGGAGGAGGAGGAGGAGGAGGAGGAGGAGGAGGAGTGAGGAGGGGGAGGAGGAGGAGAGGAGGAGGAGGAGGAGGGGGAGGGGGAGGGTAGGAGGAGGAGGAGGAGGAGGAGAGGAGGAGCGAGGAGGAGGAGGAGGAGGAGGGAGGAGGAGAGGGGAGAGGAGGGAGGAGGAGGAGGAGGAGTAGGAGGGGGAGGGGGAGGAGGAGGAGGAGCAGGAGGCCGAAGACGAGGAGGAGGATGATGATGATGAGGAGGATGAGGAGGAGGAGGAGGAGGAGGAGGGCGCCTCCGAGACTGCACCGAGCCGAATGCCCTCACGCCCCCGGGGGCGTCCGGTTACTGGGCGACCGCGGCCAATGCACGCCCTGCCTTCGGGCGCCTTGCCCCGGCGGCATCAAAACGATCCCGCCGTCTGGGCTCGCCCCGGGCCTCCCTTCGGGCAAGGTCGGGCGCGGCCATGCAGAGCTCTCTCCTCGGGCCTCCCTCTGCGGCCTCCTCCCCCCGCCTTTCCTGGTCCCAGAGATCCAACGTAGTGAACAAAATCAAGACGGAGGTTTTTTCCAATTTTCGGCCTCTAGGGGCCCTCGCAGGGCCCCGGGACCGTCAAAAAACGACTCAAGATGAAAAACGGGTCCCGGGGAATGGGTCGAGACTCTGGTTTCCTGCCTCTCCCCAGTCCCTTCTCCTCCCGTACCTCGTCCACCGATTCAATCTCTTTCCGCTCCCTCCCTCTTCGCTCCCTCCGTCCTGCTCTTGCCTCTTCCGCCTGCAGCTCCTCCTCCACCTGCTCCTCCTCCTCCTCCTCCTCCTCCTCCTCCTCCTCCTCCTCCTCCTCCTCTTTCTTCCCCTCCTGCTCCTCCTGCTGCTCCTCCCCTTCCTCCCTCCATGCTTCCCTTTCCTCCTCGTCCTCCTCCTCCTCATCCCTCCTCCCCGTCTCGCCACAAGCACGTCGCAGATGGCCTGGTGGCCTGTAAGGCCCGACGAAATCCATGGGCAGTCTGTCGCCAGACCGTCATGTTTCCCTGGTGACCCCGACGCCTGAGCCGTCGTGGGGAAGCCACCCAGGTCACTACACCGTCCGACACTCTGGTCGCCCCCCTGGTGTTACATTGTCGCACCTTCATGTGGTCTGTCGTCCTTGGAACCTCCCGACCCCTCCTTGTTATTCTTCCCCCCCTTGCTGCTTCTCATCATGCTCTTTTGTTGTTCCTCCCCTCTCCCACGCCCAATTCCTCCTGCTCTGCCTTTTCATGAGCCCTCCCTTCACCTTCTTTCCTCGCCTCTCTCCTCCTCTTTTACTCCCTCCCGCATTCCCCAAACTCCTCATTCCTGATCGTTTCTTCTATCTTCTCCTCCTCCTCCTCCCCCTCCTCCTCCTCCTCCTCCCCCTCCTCCTCCTCATCCTCCTCCTTCTCCTCCTCCTCCTCCTCCTCTATCCTATTTGCTGCTCCTCATCCTTCTTATACTCCCTGCTGTTTTATCCCCCTTTCCCCGTTTCTCTTCCAGGTTATTTTCGCAGCACTCGTCCTCCTCATCCTGTCACTCCTGACGTACCCGTTCTCGCCATTCATCCACGTAATCGTCTTCTCCTATCCTCTCCTCTAGTCCTCCCTCTTTCCTCGGAGCAGACTTCTTCATCCCTCCCGATCATGTCTCTTTTTCCTGTCTTATATGTGCTCCTCCTTCCTTCCCCCTCCTTCACTATATCGCCCTGTCCTCCTCTCGCCTCCTCGCTTCCATCCAACCGTATCCTAGACGCTTCGCGTAACCCCACTCAGACAATCCAGAAACGATGCCGAGGCGCGTTACCCTTAAGTCGGGCATGTCCTTCTACAGGGGGAAGGTTCACACATAGTCAAAACATTTTATGGGGACGATTTCTCGACAATTGCTCACTACCTGCTTGTTTTTTCTGTTCAAGATCGGACTGTAGTGCGATTTGTTATATATACAGATGTGATTCGTGTCCGACTCTGTTGATTACGTGTTTACTGTTTTAAAAGTTCCTTTCAAAGCCCGCCTGTAGGAGGACATGCCCGACCTAGAGTTCCCCTGGCCAGGGATGTGGAGGAGCATGCGGTGGAATGAAGGGCTGGTGAAGCCGTTCGATCCAAGAAGGGGGGGCTTCATTAGCTTTGTCCAGCCAGGAGGCCAATCTGTGCCCAAAACGACAATGAGTGATGCTTGCCTTCTCGCCGAGGCCATCTTGGAAGCTCCAATGGGTTGCGAACCCTTCCGTCCAGGTCCAGGGAGGTGGGTGGGAGAGGGTTCAACCCTTCCTCGAAGGGGGGGACCGGGGGCTGGATGTGGAAACGCTGTAAACCACCCACGCCCTATATAAAGGGCTGGTGGGATTCCTTCCACTGCCTCCTAATTCCTCCTCCCCCTCCTCCTTATCCTCCTACTCGCTCCTTTGTCCTCCACCGCCGTCCCTCCTCCTCCCTCCTCGCCCCTCCCCGCTTACAGCCTTCCTCCTGGCTCCTCCTCCTCATTCCTGCCTCCGCCTCGCCGTCGTGGGGCCTCCCCGGAGGACCCAACAAGCGAAGCGCAGGGCCAGCCTGGCGAGTGGCCCCACCTGATTCTGGAAGTAGGAGAGGGGTGTGGCAGGAAGGGGGGTGGTGCCAATCGTGGGAATGGAGGTGTCATCTGCGAGAGGTAATTCGCATCGCCAGGTTCAGCAGTGGCACCACATCCCTTTATGCCACACCCCGTTTCCGACCTTCAGACTGGTGCCGCCGCAACGGTGGGGCGCAGGGCGCGCCACTTCTCTTCGTGCGCTGTGCGCCGCTGGGCAGCGCGGACGGGGGCCTGCGAAGGCAAAAAGCACACAGCCGCGCGGAGCTCCCTGCGTGGGCGGTGCCCCTCGCACGAGCACGCCCGCCGAGGCCGCAGAAGTCTAGGCATAAGTCGGGCCTGCCCCTCTACAGAAGGAAACGTCAAATATAAAAAATAATAATATGAGGACCATGTGTTTATTGGTTTGGGTTATTTTTGATGGTTTTGGGATTATTGTTTCGTTCCTCCGAAATCTGCCTGTATGGGGACATGCCCGACCTAAGTCTGGGCCTCCTAGATGGGGTCGGAGTAGATGGGGTCGGAGGATCGCGCCGCGTGGCCGATGCGTCGCCGATGTGGGGCCCGATTTTCTCCACGCTGGCGTCGCCGATGCGTCGCCGGCGTCGTTGGTGCATGGCCATTGGCGATGCGATGCAATCCCCCGACCCCATCTACTCGGACCCAATCCAGGAGGTCTCTGAGAAGGCAGTCCCCGTGGGGCAGGATCCGCGCGAGAGTGGCGCCGACGCGGGGGGAGCGGCATGCCAAGCGGCTCGCGATTCTCCGCGTCTTCACTCTCCTCGTGCTCCTCGTCTCCTCCGGCGGGGCGGCGCGTGCCGCGCGGAGCGCGAAGGCAGCTGCCCGTGTCCTCCGCGGCATGCCGGCATTGACCGCGCATGCCCACGTGGGACTCCAAGGGACCGCGGGTGGGGCCTCTCCCTGTGGGGCGCAGAGGCTCGTGAGGGGTGCGGCGAGGTGCGTGTGGGGGGCTGCACTCCTCCTCCTCCTCCTCCTCATCCTCCTCCTCCTCCTCCTCCGCCTCCGCCTCCGCCTCCGCCTCCGCCTCCGCCTCCTCCTCCTCCTCTCCCAGGGCTGTGGCTGGAGCTCCCGGTGGTCAGCGGGAC